GCCACGATCCTCGCGAGGGGTGTATCGAAATGGGCCGGGGGGCGCATGCAAACCCTGCCGCTGGGGCCTTCGGTGGAGCTCCCAATGGGGCCACGATCCTCGTGAGGGGTGTGCCGACATGGCGGACATGCGGCGAGCAGAAGCAGGAAAGGGAGGAGGGAGGAGGAGGAGGAGGAGGAGGAGGAGGAGGAGGAGGAGGAGGAGGAGGAGGAGGAGGAGGAGGAGGAGGAGGAGGGGGCAGCAGCGGGGGAGGAGGTGAGACGCGGGGCGCTGTCTCTTCCAAACGAGGATCCGACACCACAGGATGGTTGGGAAAGCATGCCGCCGCGCCGTTTGCTCCCACGCGCGGCCTCGCGTCTCGCGGAGGGCGCCTCGGCCCCCCGGGGCAGGACCCGCCTCGGGCGCCGGGCTCGCCGCGGGGGCTGCCGAGGTGCCGGCGCTCTTCTTCTCGGGCGCGCGCGTGAGCAAGCGGCGCGGTACCACGTGTAGAGCTTTGCGGGGACCTTCGCTGCCTCGACACGCACGTTGTGATACGCAACACGCACCGTGCTCGTGCTCAAGAGGTCCGTGTCGATACGTTGCGTGTTGGCTCCGCGTATCGGATCACGTTTTGGCGGACGCATCGCGTCGGAGCTACGTTGTCAGCCTACGTGTCGAGCTCCGTATCAGTATACGCTACTTGCTGCGTGTGGCGCATCGGTGCAACGAAGGCCGGGGCCTGCGAGTCTTTCTCTGCGCATGCCCTTTGCAGAGCCGACGGACATCTCCACTGCTGGGGCACATATGCGCTCTGCAGCCGATCGCCTCCTCGGCAGGCGCCCGGGGCCCCGCAGCAGAGGAGGGCGAGCCGAGGCAGCGGCGCCGGTCGGCCCTCGGAGGGGCCTGTCCTCGCCGCCACGGCCGGGCGCAGCTCGGCGACACCGGCTCCGGGGACCGGGCCACGGTCAGAGTCTAGCTGGCCTTCGGGGGGCCGCCTCGCCGCCACGGCCGGGCGCAGCTCGGAGAGCGGGAGCGCTGCCGCCACGGCGGGGCGCAGCGCGGAGAGCTGGTGCGCTGGGGCCCCCCAGGAGGGGTCCAGGGGGCCCACTGCGAGCTGCCGTGGTCCTCAGCCCCGAGGGGCGCGGCGTCGCGAGAAAGCTGCGGGAGCGCGCGCAGTCGCGACCCGAGCCCTAGACCCCACCTGTCTGCTGCATCTGTCGAGCCATGGATGGATCCGTGATGGCCCCAGTGCCCGCGACCGTGCGGAAGCGCCCGGTGCACGAGAAGTTGCGACGCTGGGATGGGTCCAAGACTTCGGGGTCCAGTTTTTTATCCTGAGTTGTCTTTTGACGGCCCCGAGGCCCGGTAAGGGCCCCTGGACGCCCCAACTAGCGAAAAAATCCCCGCTTGATTCCCCAAACAGTGCGTGCACTGAAGAGGTCTCTAGCGGATCTTGAAGGATTTGGCGAAAGTTGGCGGCCGATTTCGGTGTGAGGCCCGGTTCCCGGGTTCCAATTGCTGGTTCTGGGCCGATTTCGGTGGGCGGCGGGGTTTCCTGGCTTCCAGGTTCCCAGGTTCCTTATCGGTCGGTCTTACCACCGATCTCATTACCCACCTCTCGATCGATCTCATGATCGATCGCACAATCGATCTCACGTCCGCACCCTCGATCCCACTGCCGATCTCACAAACGATCCCAATATCCAGCTCACGAATTGCCAGACCATCCTCTGATCGGGGGTCCTCTCTGGCGCAACTCTTTTTTCTTGCGACGCGAGGGGGCCTGGGGGTGCCGTTGCCTTCGGTCGCCCTGCTCCGACAGCTGCTCCCGCCGCGCCCTGGCAGCAGCGCCTGCCGCAGCCGCGCGCGGCGCGCGCCGCCGTGCCTGGCGGCGTCGCAGTCCTCCGTGCTGGCGAGCGAGCTCAGCCGCCCGAGCAGCCGGTCCAGGGCGGCGCGCGCGCCGCAGAAGGAGGTCGTCGGGCGGGCCCCCCTTCTGAGGTCCCGGCGTCCTGGAGGCGTTCCAGGGGTGCCAGATCTGGCCCCGAGCCCCCCTTCTGAGATCCTGGCGTCCTGGAAGCTTGTTCGCCTCGATCGGGGTGCTTCCCAGCAGCTCCGCCTCGTCGAGAGCGTTCCAGGGGTGCCAGATCTGGCCCCGAGCCCCCCTTCTGAGATCCTGGCGTCCTGGAAGCTTGGTTCGCCTCGATCGGGGTGCTTCCCAGCAGCTCCGCCTCGTCGAGAGCGTTCCAGGGTTATGACGTTCCAACCTGTTTTAGCTGTGATCGCCAGAAAGAATGTCGAGCGCCAGATAAGTACCCCCAAACTCTGGGGTTTTCACGTGTCGGGCCCTGGGAGGCACTGTTCCGGCATTGTTTCGACACCATGTCGACACTCTGTCGACACTTTTCCGGGTGCTCGAAATCATTTATGGGATGTGGTCTTGAAGTGCGATGGGAGCAACATCGCCCCGAACGGCCGCCAGAGGCCCAAGTGGAAGGCCCGAAAGCCGAGGCCTCCGACCATCCCTGAGGTCTTGGCCTCCGGGTTTCTTCGAGCTGGGCGGTTTCGCCCGACGGCGGGCCCAGAGGGGAGGCGTGGGGAGCAGGGGTAATATCGGTACCTTTTTTTTTGTTTAGAGATCTGGGCGTTGCAATTTTTTGTTCACCACAGGTGCCTTCGCCCTCCTGATCGGGCCCCGGGGCCATCACCGATCGATCCCGCTCGAAGAGGTTGCTCCGAAAGACGGGGTCGGGGGCTCCAGTGGTGATTTTTCGCAGTGTTGCAGTTTTTGTTCGCAGCGTCGGATCTCATGGAGGATCGGGAGGAATCGTTCCGGAGCGCTCCGGAACGCTCCCAACGCCTTCTAGGGCGCTCCAGCGGCCGCGGCGCCCGACACATCCGCCATTCCCAGACCCCCGACGTCATGATTGTTCCCAACCATCCTGTGGTGTTGGGTCCTCGTTTTGAAGAGACAGCGCCCCGCGTCCACTCCTCCCGCTGCCCCCTTCCTCCTCTTCATCCCTGCGTTTCACCCACCGCTTCGTGGCCCCATAGGGAGCTCCACCGAAGGCCCCACTGGCAGGGTTCGCATGGCGGCCTCGGGCCATTTCGGCACACCCCTCACGAAGATCGTGGCCCCATAGGGAGCTCCACCGAAGGCTCCAGTGGCAGGGTTCGCATGGCGGCCTCGGGCCATTTCGGCACACCCCTCACGAGGATCGTGGCCCCATAGGGAGCTCCACCGAAGGCCCAGTGGCAGGGTTCGCATGGCGGCCTCGGGCCATTTCGGCACACCCCTCACGAGGATCGTGGCCCCATAGGGAGCCCCGCCGAAGGCGCCAGTGGCAGGGTTCGCATGGCGGCCTCGGGCCATTTCGGCACACCCTCACGAGGATCGTGGCCCATAGGGAGCTCCACCGAAGGCCCCCAGTGGCAGGGTTCGCATGGCGGCCTCGGGCCATTTCGGCACACCCCTCACGAGGATCGTGGCCCCATAGGGAGCTCCACCGAAGGCGCCAGTGGCAGGGTTCGCATGGCGGCCTCGGGCCATTTCGGCACACCCCTCACGAGGATCGTGGCCCCATAGGGAGCTCCACCGAAGGCGCCAGTGGCAGGGTTCGCATGGCGGGCAATGGGCCATTTCGGCACACCCCTCACGACCCATAGGGAGCTTCCGCAGGGTTCGCATGCGGCCTCGGGCCATTTCGGCACACCCCTCACAGGATCGTGGCCCCATAGGGAGCTCCACCGAACGCATGCGGATTCGGCACACCCCTCACGAGGATCGTGGCCCCATAGGGAGCTCCACCGAAGGCGCCAGTGGCAGGGTTCGCATGGCGGCCTCGGGCCATTTCGGCACACCCTCACGAGGATCGTGGCCCCATAGGGAGCTCCACCGAAGGCTCCAGTGGCAGGGTTCGCATGGCGGCCTCGGGCCATTTCGGCACACCCCTCACGAGGATCGTGGCCCCATAGGGAGCTCCACGAAGGCGCCAGTGGCAGGGTTCGCATGGCGGCCTCGGGCCATTTCGGCACACCCCTCACGAGGATCGTGGCCCCATAGGGAGCTCCACCGAAGGCCCCCAGTGGCAGGGTTCGCATGGCGGCCTCGGGCCATTTCGGCACACCCCTCACGAGGATCGTGGCCCCATAGGGAGCTCCACCGAAGGCGCCAGTGGCAGGGTTCGCATGGCGGCCTCGGGCCATTTCGGCACACCCCTCACGAGGATCGTGGCCCCATAGGGAGCTCCACCGAAGGCGCCAGTGGCAGGGTTCGCATGGCGGCCTCGGGCCATTTCGGCACACCCCTCACGAGGATCGTGGCCCCATAGGGAGCTCCACCGAAGGCCCCAGTGGCAGGGTTCGCATGGCGGCCTCGGGCCATTTCGGCTCACGAGGACCGTGGCCCCACTGGAGCTCCACCGAAGGCGCCAGTGGCAGGGTTCGCATGGCGGCCCCGGGCCATAGCGGCACATCCCTCACGAGGATCGTGGCCCCATAGTTGCGCTGCTTCAACAACCGCGCATGGGCGTCGTACTCCGCCTTGTCGACGTGCAACGCCACCTCCTCCCTCATGGCTCTCAAGGCCTTCTCCTGCTTCTGCTCCTCGGTGAGAGGGACGCCGTCCTTGTCGTCGTCGGCGCCCGCGAAGACGGCCACGAACGTGTCCCTGAGCATGTCGGGCTCCGGCGGGAAGCCGTGGCCACATAGGGAGCGCAGGCGAAGATGGCATTCACAATTGCGGCATTCACAACTGCATATGGTTGGGTCCTTCGCCAGGATAATTTTTGACAACGTGGACCCCCTGAGGTCTGGACGCTTTCCCGGTGACCAGCTTTTCATCCTGAGTCGTTTTTCGATTGTCCCGAGGCCTGGTCAGGGCCCGCGGACACCCAAAATAGCCCAAAAATCATCCCTTGTGATTTTGTGCACGACGAGAGGGGTTCGAGGCTCGAAGCGCGGAATGCCGAAGATCCCCGACTTGTCCGGGTCCACTCGTGATCCGGGTCTTGGCTCCGCCTCAGGTCTCCCTGGACTTCCTCTCCCCCGCAGCCGTCTCCGCGTGGGACCAGGCCTGGGGGGGAATTCGGGGGCAAATCGTGGGAGCCTGGTATACCTTTCCAATTCCGTCTTTAGCGTCGAGCAGCGTCGACTAGTGTCTGGAGTCGACGAGACAGCGCCGATGTAGCGTCGGTCAGCCTCGATTAGCGTGGACTTCGCGTCGACTAGCATCGATCTGGCGTCGATCAGCGTCGACTCGCGGGAGCCGACAAGATGGTAATACGGGAGGCTCCCAGGAGTTGCCACCGAAGGGGAACGTGGGGGGAACGGCTCGGGGTGGGACACGGCGACCCCGACCGAATCGGCGATGCGCCGCCGATGGAGCGACGATGGGCCCCCGACCCAGAGCCCCTCGCGCCGGGGAAAGATCATGCCGGAAGGTTCTTCGCCATCTGGGGCGTCCGGGAGGCCTCACCGGGCCCCAGGACCGTCCAGATCAAGATTCGGGACGAAAAGTTGGTCCCCAGAGAGAGGTCCATACCTCCTTGGGGTCACGCCACCAAGATCTCATGGCGTCGGGGTTTGGGGATCCCGGATTGGCTTGTTCCTGGGCGGGGTGGGCCATCAGGCCCCTGTCGGCGATGAACGGGCGATTGGGGGTCGATGCGCCGCCTCCCCCCCCCCTGAGCTTCCAGACCCCCGGCGTCATGATTTTCTCATAAGGTCTGGACCCCGAAAGGTCTGGACCCCTTCCCTCAAGCTCCGACCCCCCTGGCCCTGGACCCCGAAAGGTCTGGACCCCTTCCCTGGGGCCGGCTTCTCATCCCGAGCCGTGTTTTGACGGGCCCAGGGCATCGTGAGGGTCCCGAGGGGCCGGAACTTACCAAAATCCTCCCGTCGTGATTTTGTTCGTGACCCGAGGTGGTCCGGGCTATGTGTGATCCAGGGTCGAGGGTGCACAGCTCCCCCCCCAGATGGGATGGGGGAAAGGGCGGGGGCGATGACGACGACGACGACGACGACGACGACGACGACGACGACGACGACGACGACGACGACGACGACGACGACGACGACGACGACGACGACGACGACGACGACGACGACGACGACGACGACGTTCGTCGACACTCTACCACGCCACGCCCACAGGGGGGGGGCGGGGCGATCCCATTCGCGAGGCCGTCGCGAGGCTCACGGCCGTAATACCTACCCAGCGGGGGGCCCGGGGGCGCGATCCCACCAGCAGTGGGAGTCGGCGGGGGCGGAGCCCTGGATCACATACACTCCTGCTGCAGCCATCCGGCCGCTCCGATTTTTTCGATGCGCGGGCCCCAGGAGCCTGGACCACTTCCCAGGGGCCGCTCGTTCGCCCTCGGCCGTGTTCTTGGACGGCCCCCGGGCCCCGCAAGGGCTCCCGGGGGCCCTCGGCGGCCCAACACCGCCCGCTCCAACTTTTGGAGCGTCGGCTCTGTGGGAATACGCCCCTGAATCAGGCGATCGCAAACATCGGGGGTGGACAGAACCCCCACCCTGGCACGTCGATTAGTGAATTGTCCGTTCTCGGTTCTCGAGAGGGCGCCGCGGCCGATATTTTCCAGGCTTGCGCCCGCCAGGTTTGGGCCCGAGGTCGTTTTCACTAAACCACGTTTTGCTAGCGGCGGGTCTGTCCATCCCATAAAGCATGGACCAAGGGGGCGTGGATGAGCGACGGTCTCCGCTTCCACGGTAAGTCGCGGACTTCCCCGCCGCCGAGCGAGGCGGCACCGGCCGCGTTTTTGGGGAGGGCACCTCCCCCGATCCATGGATTTGGCGACCGCGCGCCGAATCCATGGATCGCTAATCCCAGACCCCCGACGTCATGATTTTTTCATGACGTCGACCCCCCGAGGTCTCGACCCATTCCCCGGGACCGGTTTTTCGTCCTGAGTCGTTTTTTGACGGTCCCGAGGGCCGGTAAGGGCCCCCAAAGGCCAAGAATAGTGAAAAGCTTCCCGTCGTGATGTTTCCATACCTCGAGGGGGTCTGGGATCCATGTGTGCGCGCCCCCGACTGAAGGCCAGCTTCGAGCTCTCCGGCACGCCCGGGTCGCCTTCCGCGACCTCCCGCCTGCGCAGCGCCGCGGCGGCGGGCGGCGGCGGCCCGCTGGAGCTGCCCGGCGGCGGCCTGCTGCTCGGCACGCCCGCCTCGGCCACGTTCCAAGCCAACCTGCTGTCGGAGCAGCGCTCCACGCAGATCGAGGACCTCAGGGAGGAGGACGAGGGCGAGGAGGAGGGGGAGGGGGAATGGGAGGGGGAGGAGGAGGAGGAGGAGGAGGAGGAGGAGGAGGAGGAGGAGGAGGAGGGGGAGGAGGAGGAGCAGCAGGAGGAGGAGGAGGAGGAGGAGGAGGAGGAGGTCAGGGGAGGGCTTCAGGGAACCGACCCTGGGCTCCTGGCGTTTCCACTTCGTCGAGCCCGGCGGTGGCGCCCCCGTCGTCACGGGGAGGCACTGTCGCCGCCACGGCCGGAGTCGCCTCGAAGTGCTGATCAAAACGCAGCCCGCGAGAGGTCCGGGCAATCACGGCCAGAGCCTCGCTGCAGACCTCGTCTGCCTGCGCCATTCCTCGAGCTGGATGGATCTGCGAGGGTCCCAGGGCCCGAAGCGAGGCGAGAATGCCCAGCCCGAAGACATTGTGAGACGCCCCGGCGTCATGTTTTTTCTGAATGTGGACCCCCAGAGGTCTTCGCCCTTTCACTGGGACCCGTTGTTCCTCCTGAGTCCCGGGGCCCAGCGAGGGCCCCGGGACTCAGCGAGGGCCTCTAGGGAGGGCCCCCAGAGTCCGAAAACAGCAGAAATCATCCCGTCGCGATTCTTGCAGGGCGCTATGGGGGTCTGGGGTTTCAGGGCTTTGGTCCCCCCCCTATAGGCGGCGATGCAGCAGTCGCCGCCGGTGCAGCGGCGGCCGGGCGACGCAACGCTCCCGCTGGCGGGCGCCGCGGCGCCGCCGCAGGGGCCCAGCTTCGAGGACGACCTGCGGGCCTTCGAGGCCGCGGCCGTGGAGCTTCGGCGGCGGCTGCTGCTGGACCACCTGAGCCTCGAGAACCAGGAGGAGCAGAGGGGAGCGAGAGTTGGGATCGTCCGCCGTGAGCGGGCCTTTCTCCTCCTCTTGCTCCTCCTCCTCCTCCTCCTCCTCCTCCTCGCCCTCCTCTTCTTCCTCTTCGTCGTCGTCTTCCTCCTGCTCCTCCTCCACCTCCTCCTCCTCCTCCACCTCCTCCTCCTCCTCGTCCTCTCCCTCCTCCGCTGAAGCACCCGGACCTCGAGGAACAGGAGGATCAGAGAAGGGCGAATTGAGATCGTTGGTATTCTTCGCCGTGAGCTAGACGTCTTGCTCCCTCCTCCTCCTCCTCCTCCTCCTCCTCCTCCTCCTCCTCCTCCTCCTCCTCCTCCTCCTCCTCCTCCTCGTTCCAGTGTTTCACTTGCCTGCAGTTCGCCCGACGCCCGTAGCTTGCCTTCCATGGCCAGCCTGCGCGCACGTGCGCTTCGACGTGTGCTCTGGCGCCTTCTCGGCGGGACGGCGACGTCGGCAGAGGTTGTCTGGGCCTCTGACCTCTGAGTCCCGACGACCATCTTTTCCAGTCGGGTTCCGGCTGCCACTCCCCCCCCGTGGAGGGCGGAACGCTCGGGGGAAGAGCGTGCTGGCCCGATGAGAGGGTGCTATCCCGCTCCGCTCCGCCGATCGCACGCAGCCCGTGCCGGCCCTCACTGCACCGCTCTCTCTCCTCCAGTTTTCGTTGTATACGGCATCCTTCCCGCGTCAAGCGGATTCCACCGCCCGGGGCCACGTTTTGTATACAAAAACCTAGCCCCGGGGAGGGTGCTTTGTATACCAAACCCACGACCAGGACCCTCGCCCAACCCAAGGGCTGTTCGGATATAGTGTATATATATATATATATATATAGGAGAGGCCTGACGGCCGGTGCCGCCGACCCGGATCGAAAGGGCTAGGAGTGGGGGGAGGAAGCGGAGGAGGAGGAGGAGGACGAGGAGGAGGAGGAGGAGGAGAAGGAGGAGGAGGAGCAGGAGGAGGAGGAGGAGGAGAAGGAGGAGGAGGAGGAGGAGGAGGAAGTGCATCCTTTGTGTGCCCGCTCGAAGAAAGTGCGCCCCGGGAGTGTGATATTCTGACTTGGGACGTGCTCCCGGAAGAGGAAGAAGTGCATCTCGGGCGTGCCCGCTCGAGGAAAATGCGCCCTAGGGGGGTGGTATTTTGACTCGGGGCCCGCTCCCGGGACGCCTCTGCGGGAGGAGGAGGAGGAGGAGGAGGAGGAGGAGGAGGAGAAGGAGGAGAGGAGCAGGAGGAGGAGGAGGAGGAGGAAAAGGAGGAGGAGGAGGACCAGGAGGAGGAGGAAGTGCATCCCGTGCGTGCCCGCTCGAGGAAAGTGCGCCCCGGCGGGCGTCGTATCTGCCCCGGGCCCCCTCCCCCCCCCCCCCTGCGGGGAAGGGATCAAAGGGAAGGGGCTTCCCTTCGACTCCACTACGACGTCGTTTAATTTCGCTTTGGATAGCGCGCTTGAGGAGGAGAGCCCTGGGAGGGGGAGAACGGAGACGACGGAGACGACGAGTCGAACGGAGAAGCCCCTCACACACGCCGACAGGGTCGGCGGATATGTATATATATACATATGGTTGTATACACACACATATATATATATGTGCATGTATGTATGTATGTATATATGTATGGATGGATGCATGTGTGTATGTATGTATGTATGTCTGTATATGTATGTATGTCTGTCTGTCTGTCTGTCTGTCTGTCTGTCTGTATGTATGTATGTATGTATGCATGTATGTATGTATGTATGTATGTATGTATGTATGTATGTCTGTATGTCTGTATGTCTGTATGTATGTATGTATGTATACATATACAGATATGTGTGTGTTTTCCGGCGGACCTGCGTCGTACTGAAGGGCTTCGGTGGATCCACACGTTGGCGAACACACAAGTTCTGCGGGTCGTCGGTGACACAACGGCAGCCGGCCTTCGGCGGGGGGGTGGACGGCGCTCGTCGCCAAGGCTGGACGCGCCCTGGAAAACTGGTGCGTTTGGCCCTTGGACCCTTGGACCACGGGGAGGGGTCGGGGGGGCGGTTTTGAGTTGCTGTTGTCTCGAACCTGAGGTCCGACGTTGCGAGAAACTGCAGCGTCGCGGAAAATCACGACCCGAGCCCTAGACCCCCCACATGGCCCGCAAACTTGCGGAAACGCCCAGCGCACGAAACGTCGCGACGCTTGTGTCCCAGGGGTCCCAGACCCCCGACGTCGTTATTTGTTCAGCACCCAGACCCCCAAGGCGCCGATACTGCCATACCAGGACGAGGTGCCGATGCTCCTGGAAGAGCCGTTGCCCCCACAAGAGGTGAGCGACGAAAAGTTGCGGGTTCCACTGCGGCGCCGACATGCGGGCGTAAGTTGCTCGCGTAAGGTCGCGCGTGAGCGACCTCGTCTCCAATGTCGCGTGCCGCGCCGGCGGCCCGCGTAAGCCACCGCGTAAGCTTGCTGTGCACATCTCGCGTAAGACCCCTTTCTCTTCGTCGCTCGGGTGCCGATGCTGCTATGCCCTTGCCTCGGCGAGCCCTCGGGGGGAGGCCCTCTCTCGCCGCCACGGCCGGCCGGCTTCGCCTCGAGATGCGGCCCAGGACGCAGCCCCGGAAGAGGCCCTGGGACGGGCGGTATCGGCAGATGTCCTCTCAGGAGGGGAACGAGAGGCCCAGACACAAAGAAACGCTGATCCTCACGGAGGTAGCGGGATACAGGGGAGACGGAGGGGAGGAGGAAGAGATCCAGGAAGCAGGGGAACAGAGGGGGCTTCCTGGAAGGCGTGTGTCGATCTGTGTGGGTGCCTGCTCCTCCTCCTCCTCCTCCTCCTCCACCTCCTTCTTCTCCTCCTCCTCCTCCTCCTCCTCCTCCTCCTCCTCCTCCCTGACAGGAGGCCGAGCAGCGGCGGCAGGAGGCCGAGAGGAGGCGCCAGCAGGAGGAGCGCAAGAAGCAGCTGGTGGAGAAGCTGCGCAACGCCATGACGCCGAAGAAGCGCGTGGACATGCGGGCGATCAGTGCTGGGACCCCCTTCGCGGCCTGGCAGACTCACCCCGGAGGGCTGTTCTATATACTCTCAGCCTCCAGGGGCCTTCGCAGGGCCCCAGGGCCGTCGAAGAAGGACTCGGGATGAAAAGCCAGTCCCGGGGAAAGGGTCGAGACCTGGATGTCGACGTTGTGAGAAAGTCATGTCGTCGGGTGTTCGGGTGTCAAGGGGGAATATGGTGTTTTCCAGCGTTTTCGCTGGTTCCTAGAGGTTTTCCAGCCTCGGGATGCTCTCCAGCAGCTGCGCCTCGCCGACAGCGTTCTGGGAGTGTCTGGGCTTCGTTGTTCTTAACAAGCGCTGGGGGCGCTTGTTTTCCGTTTCCAACATTTCGTGTTGCGGTCGGCCAAAGCAGAAACACCAAAGGCAATCCACAACAGAACAAAGACGACACCCGCCGGGCCCAAAGCGAGCGGACAACGACAACCCAAAACAGAAAAGGAAAACGGCAACCCAAAACAGAGAGCAAATTACATAAACGGAGAACAGAACATGCACGGCAGTTAGAAAACAATGTTTGAACAACGTAGCGCTAAACGAACCGAACACGGCGAGACGGCAATCCAGAACAAACAAAAAACGGCCCCGAAAGCCGAAACAAAGTCGTTGAACTTGAAGACGAAAGAACAACCCCCCAGCGTTTTTATGGACATCGACGTGCCCGGGTCGTCCCGAACGGCCGCCAGAGACCCACGTTAGAACCCGAAGACCAATCTCGGCGGCGACCATCCCCACCGTGCCACGGTATCTCGGCCCCACCCTCCCACCACCCCTCCCAGTTGGGGATCGGCCCCTCGAAGCCCGAAGGGAACCGCCCATATCCCCATCCAGGGGCTCGAGTCGGCCAGCGGGGCCAAGAGGCCAGGCCAGCGGGGATGGGGGTCGGCCGAACGATGCCCAGGTGAAGGAGCTGACCGAGAGCGGCTGGGACCTCGAGATGTCGGGCCTGACGATCCCGATGCAGGGCTTCCGCGGCGCCGCGGCCGCCGGGGGCCGCGCCGAGCACGTGGAGGTCGTCAACGTGACCGCGCTGCAGGGCCGCTGCCTCTGCCTCGGCGCGGGCTCCACGGGCGGCCAGGTGGACCGGATCCTGCGGCAGCGCTCGCAGGAGAGGCGCTGGGAGGCCCGGGCCAGGGAGACGGGCCGCAGGGCGGTCGACCACGTGGCCCTGAACAGAGCGGAGGGCAGCATCAAGAAGGCGAGGAGCGATCGCATCGGCGAGATGGCCGGGAGGGCGAAGGCCATGCAGGGGGAGGCGTCGGAGCGGAGGAGGAGGAGGGCGATCCAGGAGGTCCAGAGCCAGCTGAAGGCGACGTCGCTCTCGAGGGTCGCTCCGACGGAGAGCACTGGGCGTGGGCTCTCGCCGGCCCGGGACGCCAGCCCGCAAGCCCGCCAGGACGCCGGGCCCGGCAGGCTGCTCTCGGACGCCCCGGTCATCCCAGAGCAAGCGTCGAGGCTCGAGCGGGTGGCCATGGGGGATGATTGAGATGCGGGGTGGGAGGACAGGGCCCTGCGTGGGGCCCTTTCGAGGGCCCCTTTGGAGGCAGCGGGAGCGCCAAAGGGACCCCAGAGGGCCCCCCGGGGGCCCGTTCCCCCCCCACCCCCCCATGGAGGTCACCCCCCCATATATGGCCACCCGCCCGAGAGGCGGTCGTCCGCCTCCGCGCCCCTCGCCGCGGAGCTCCTCCACCCAGCGCGGCGGCCGTCGCGCCGCAGCTCCCTCGCCAGCCTCCCCAGCGCCCAGCGGCGCGGCTCGCTGGCCAGCGCGCTGGGCTCCTCGCGCCGCGGCTCGGTGGCGAGCTCCGGGGGCGGCTCGCCCCACCACGGTCGTGGCAGGCGCAGGGCGAGCGCCGTCGGCCGGCTCGAGACGCGCGCGGAGCACCGGAACCCGGGCCGGCTGGGCAGGTCTGTGGACCTCCCAAGTCACAGACCCCCCTCGAGCCATGGCAAAAATCACGACGGGAGCTCCTTCGCCACTTTCGGCCCCATGGGGGCCCTTTACCAGGCCTCGGGGCTGTCACAGAACGGCCCAGGACGAAGAGCTGGTCCCGGGGGAAGGGGTCCAGACCTCTGGGGGTCGACGTCACGAAAACAACATGACGTCGAGGGTCTGGGGTGGGGTCCGAGCGGATGGGGCGAAGGACTGCGCCGCCTCGCCGATACATCGGCGGTGCGGTTCGATGTGGAGCCCAATCTTCTCTTCGCCGGCGGCGCCGCTGCAGCGCCAGCGTCGCTGAGGCATCGCCGAGGCATCGGCGATGCCTCGGCGATGCGGCGCGATTCTTCGTCCCCATTTGCTCGGACCCCGCTTGGGAGGCCTTTCGCAGGCTCGGGCTGGCGACCCGCGGGGTCTTCTTCCTCGCCTCCCTTCTCAACGTGGTCCGGGAGCGGCGCCAGGCGTCGAGGCAGCAAACATGTGCGCAAGCAGAAGCTTCCGAGGGTCCGCGCGGATCCCTTGGACCTGCGCGGGGCCCACTCCCTGGCGCGCGGAGCGCGCCCTTGGGCGGCGCCGGAGGCTCTGCCGTGGTGGGGTCCTGCGCCGATCCACGGCGTCCGCGCGGACCTCCGAGCGCCTCTGCTTTTGAGCAGCTTCCGCTGTCCCCCATGGCTAGGCGGCGGACACGGTGCAGCACTTCTGCCGGCACCTGGCGCAGATGAACAACCTGGCCCAGGGCGTCAACTCGCTCATGCGGCGCCTGCGGCGCCTGCAGTTCCACGTGCGCCAGTTCTTCGCCCGGAAGGCGGCCTGGAGCGAGCGCGCCGCGGGCGTGTGGGAGAAGGCCGAGGACCCGGAGGCCACAGCGGTCCTGGCCAAGGCCGATCCTGGGCCCAGGATCGGTGCACGTGCCCTCCTGCCCGCCAGCCAGGAGGGCGTTATTCACTGTAGGCGCCGATCCCGGGGCCCAGAGACAGGCCAAGGGCGGGATGGCTGTGGCTGTCTGCCAGGAACTCCGACGCCGTGCTTTCTCGCAGCGGGGGCCCAGGGAGGCCCGCACCCCCTGACCCCTGCCCCAGCCGCGTTGCTGGGAGGTTTGCGCCGCGTGGACGCCGCGGCGATCTCGGCGTGGGCGTGCAAGGCTGGACGCCGCCGGTGGCTCAGAACCGGCCGATGTCGAGCGATCTGCCGTATCGGAGGGCCACGATCGTTCAAGGCTGAACGATCCACGCGGTGCCTGAAACCGGAGGCCGCGACACCGGGACGCGAACCAGCCACGGAGGTCCATGCAAACGGTGGTCAGCCAGAGCTCCGGATCTTGCAGGATCCTGCAAAGCCAGGGTTGCATGGACCCGGGCTGGCGCGCAGGATCCCGCAGGATCTCGCAGGATCTTGCAGAGCCTGCCTACCCCGGGTTATGCGTTGACCCAGGTCAGTAGAACCCCGACCCAGGGACCGGTCTGTTTCATCCCGAGCTGCTTCGTTGACGTTCCTGGGGCCCGCAGGCCGAAGATGGCCCCAGGCCTCCCGTCCTGGCTCTTCCACGGCGCGAGGAGGTGGTGGGTGCAGTCGACCCGCACATCGTAAGGAGGAGCGGCTTTCCCAGGCTTCCCTTGCAGCCTTCCCCTTCGGCCCATCCTTGGCTGCTTTCCCATACAGCCGAGTTTGATCTGTAGGTCGACCCCGCCAAATCAAGGGTACCCCTGTGTCCTGTGCTTCGCGACCCATGCCTTCTACACTCTTGTGGCACTGCGGCCCTCGGAAGGGTCGTGTGCCCTCTCGCGTGTCCTCCCCAGTCCAGCTCGACTGCACGGGTCGACTCCAGTGCTTAGTATTTTTTCTCCTCATATTCGATCTTATTCCCGCTCGCCATCTCAATCTCAGGTCGATCGGGTACATATCACTGCCCAAAAAAGCATCACGGCGGGATCGGCTGTTTCGTGTCATCTTGGCAGGTGCTGCCGGTTTTCTCAACTCAACTCGAGCTGCAGAAGAGCTGCTGAGCTGGCAGGCACCCCTCCTGCCGAGGACGAGTACCTGGACTATCAAGCCTGCTCGGATGCTGATGTGTTTTGTGTGCCAAGCGCAGGTAGCTTTCGCCCTCCAGGGGCTCTCCAGCCGAAGTGGCACTGCACCGAAGCATCGGGTGAAAGGTCGCTCGCATGTGCAGTTTTCTAAAAACATCCAGGCCCTACCCTCTCCCCAGACCCCCGACGTAATGATTTTTTCATTACGTCGACCCCCAGAGGTCCCGACCCTTTCCCCATGACCGGCTTTGCATCCTGAGTCGTTTTTTGACGCTCCCGAGTCCCGGCGAGGGCCGCCGGAGGCCGAAAATTAGGAAAAACCTCCCGTCATGATTTTTTCATTACTCGAGGGGGTCTGGGTCTGCCACTGCCTGGTTTGCCTGGTGCTGGCGCCCTCCTGCCGAGGACGAGTACCTGGAGAGGACGGTGGGCCTCTCCTCCCAGCTGCGGGCCCAGCAGGGGCAGGCGGGCGTGCCCGCCGCCAGGGCGCCCACGCCCGCGCGCGGCAGCCCGGCGGCGCGCGGCACGCTGCAGCAGCCGCGCGGCACCGCCTCGTGGATGGAGGACGCCGAGGGAGGAGGAGGGAGGAGGGAGGAGGGAGGAGGGAGGAGGAGGAGGAGGAGGAGAGGAGGAGGAGGAGGAGGAGGAGGAGGAGGAGGAGGAGGAGGGAGGAGGAGGATGAGGAGGGGGGTGGAGGAGGAGGAGGAGGAGGAGGAGGAGGAGGAGGAGGAGGAGGAGGAGCGATCGGTCGGCGGCGGCCACCGGGGGCCACGGGATCGTGCAATCCTCGCGGCCGTGCGACGCTCGGGGGCGTGCTCTGCCTTCGTGTCGTTCCTCCCTCCCGCCTCCTCTCCTCCTCCGCTCCCCCTGCCTGGCCCGCCGCTGGCGACCTCGGCCTCTCCCCGCGGGCCGGCGGGGCCCCGAGCGGAGACGCACGCGCCTGCGGCAGGCCTCGGCTCCCTCCGCCTGCTTCCTGTCCCTGTTCTGGCCGTTGTCTGGCGGCGAGCGAGGGGGGGAGTTTCGGGCTCGAGGCTCGAGGTTTTCGGACGTTTTCGTCAGTTCTCGGCGGTTTTCCAGCCTCGGCATGCTTGCTAGCAGCTGCGCCTCGCCGAGGGCGTTCCGGGGGTGCCCGGATCGTCCCGAACGGCCGCCGGAGACCCGAGCTATGATCCAAAAACCAAATTCGGCGGCGAGCGAGGGGGGGCAGTGAGAATGAGAAGGCCTGCTCGGAAGGCGGCGTGACTTCTCAGAAGACCTCGCGCCTTCTGAGAAATTTTCTGCATCTTCGGGGAAGGCTTAGAAAGCGAGGCCGGGGGACTGAGAAGGCCTTCTCCTTCTCACTCCCCCCCAGGTTCGCGTTCCCAGACCCCCTCGCGTCGCGAAATGATCACGACGGGACGCTTTTCGCTATTTTCGGTATCTGCGGGCCTTCGCTGGGCCCCGGGATCGTCAAAAACGGCCTGGGACGAAAAGCCTGTGCTTAGGAATGGGTCGACACCTCTGGAAGTCGACGTTGTGGCAAAAACTCGAGGTTCGAGGTTCTCGGACGTTTGCGTTGGTTGGTGGCTTTCCAGACTCGGGACGCGCTCCAGCAGCTGCGCCTCGCCGAGAGCGTTCTGGGGTGTCCAGACCGTCCTGAACGGCCGCCAGAGGCTCTTGTAAACCCGGTAGGGTCTTTAGAAAAGGGCCCCCCCCCCCCCCCCCTGGTTCTCTCTCCGGGGAATAAAACTCCGCGCCCCCCCGTCCTCCCCCCCCCCTCCCCCCGTCCTCCCCCCTCGCTCCCTCTCCCTCCCCCCACTGAGGACCTCCCGCAAGCTACGAGGACTGAGGACCTCTCGCAAGCTACGAGGACTGTAGTAGTAGTAGTAGTAGTAGTAGTAGTAGTAGTAGTAGTAGTAGTAGTAGTAGTAGTAGTAGTAGTAGTAGTAGTAGTAGCAAGTAGTAGTAGTAGTAGTAGTAGTAGTAGTAGCAGTAAGTAGTAGTAGCAGTAAGTAGTAGTAGGAGTAGTAGTAGTAGTAGTAGTAGTAGTAGTAGTAGTAGTAG